CCGAGGCAGGCAGATCACCTGAGGTCAGGAGTTTGAGACCAGCCTGGCCAACATAGTGAAACCCTCTCTCTACTAAAAATACAAAAATTAGCCGGGCGTGGTGGCACACGTCTGTAGTCCCAGCTACTTGGGAGACTGAGGCAGGACAATCACTTGAACCTGGGAGGCGGAGGTTGCAATGAGCCGAGATTGCGCCACTGCATTCCAGTCTGGGCAACAAAGCGAGACACTATCTCGAAAAAATAAAATAATAATTTTTAAAAAGATAAAAATTAGCTGGGCATGGTGGTGCATGCCTATAATCTCAGCTAATCGGGAGGCTAAGGTGGGAGGATAACTTGAGCTCAGGAGTTGAAGGTTGCGGTGAGCTGAGATTGCACCACTGCACTCTAGCCTGGGTGATAGAGCCAGATCTTGACTCAAAAAAAAAAAAAAAAAAAGAAAAAATTTAAGAAGAACAAGCCTTTATTGGTTAAACACTGATCTGCTTAGGCCAGTAGTTCAAAAAGTATCGTTTATGGACCCCTGGTGGTCCCTGATACCCTTTTAGGGATCTATGAGGTCAGAACTATTTTTATTATAATACAAAAACATTATTTGCCTTTTTTCTTTTTCCATGTTTACATTAGCACTGACGGTACAAATGCAACAGTGGGTATAACTGCTGGTGCCTTAGCATGAATCAGACTGTGCTACTGGTTATTGTATTCTTCATTGCCATGTAATCTCAAGGGAAAATTGCCAGTTCTACTTAGGAGTGTCCTGGATGACACAGTAAAAATTATTAATTTTATTAAATCTCAACACCTGAATATATGTGTTTATAATTTATGTGTGACAAAATGAGAAGTATACATAAAGCACTTTTTTTTTTTTGAGACATGGTTTCACTCTGTCACCCAGGCTGGAGTGCAGTGGGCACAATGACAGCTCACTGCAGTCCTGACCTCCTGGGCTCATGGGATCCTCCCATCTCAGCTTCCCAAGTAGCTGGGACTACAAGCACACACCACCACGCCCAGCTAATTTTTGTATTTTTTATAGAGATGGGGATTCACAATATTACTCAGGCTGGTCTCAAACTGCTGGGCTCAAGCAATCGACCTACCTTGGGCCCCCAAAGTGTTAGGATTACAGGCATGAGCCACCACACCCGGACTCTTCTCTACCCTTTTGCTCAAATGACAATTATATTGTACCCACCATTCTGCATGATCTTTCCATAGCAATAGAATCCCAAAGTGTTGGGATTACAGGCGTGAGCCACTGTGCCTAGCTGACTTAAATTACTTCTGCTGCTTACTGAAACATGATGGTTTTCTTGAGAAAAGCACTACATGATTAAGTTGCAAGCTAAAATAACTGTTTTTGGCCAGGCGTGGTGGCTCATGCCTGTAATCCCAACACTTTGGGAGGCCCAGGCAGGCAGATCACCAGGTCAGGAGATCAAGCCCATCCTGGCTAACACGGTGAAACCCCGTTTCTACTGAAAAACCAAAAAAAAAAAAAAAAATTAGTCAGGCGTGGTGGCAGACACCTATAGTCCCAGCTACTCGGGAGGCTGAGGCAGGAGAATGGTGTGAACCCTGGAGGTGGAGC